TTTTCCTTACTATTTTTTTTTAACTTCTTCACAGTGTAGACTCACATTCAGTGAGAAGCAATCCATTATTGTAATTCTGATGTTTGACATTTTCCTAATTTGGCTAGAACCCCTTGACACGGGCTCTTTGTCTTTCTGGATGGGTCTCCGTCAACTTTTAAAACAATACTTCACTTTGCAGCATAACAAGGTGGTTCATGTTCATCTTCTACAGCTTTGGCTCCACTACTACACGGAACCATTTTTCAAGGAGCGTTGATTCTCTTTAGTGGAAAATGGAATTAGGAACCCCGATATGAGTTCTATGTGTATTGACTTCTAGGCCTTTCAGCAGCCAGACTGAGGGGAGAGAGGAATGCTTGGGAGGATGGAGGGACAGCTCAAGAGAGGAAGACCCTCGATGAGATGGTTTGATTCAGTGCCTGGAGTAATGGGGGTAGGTGTATCAGAGATAATAAGATTGGCACAGGATAGAGCAGGGTTTAGGACTGTTGTATATAGAGCCCCTATGAGTTGCAGGCAACTCGATGGCACAAAGTAACAACTACAACATGCATATATCCCTGCTTTGTGCTATGTGTGTACTGAAAGTGAATATGGGTAATCTCAAATTCTGTTTGTCAGCATTGATTTTTTTCTGAGAGGTAAGGGTTGTAGTTACAAAAGTGGTTCACATAATCCCTGGCACAGCTTTCTGAAGTTTTTATTTACTCATGTTTAAATTGTAATAAAAGACACACAAAATTTACCATTTTCAAGCTTACAATTCAACTGTGTCAAGTATATTTACTCCATTGTACATTCATCTATTTCCAGAATTTTTCTTCGCCCCAAAAGGAAGCCTGCTTCTCATTAAGCAGAAAATACTTACTTTTATTTCTTAGTCCTTACTATTACTTTGCCTTCTTTTTCTCTGAATCTTCCTGTTTTGAACATTACATGTAAACTACATAATACAGTATGTAATCTTTTATCCCTGGCTTCTCTCACTTGCTATATTTTCAAGATTCATCTGTGTTGTAGGATATAGCAATACTTTAATCTTTTTTTTATGGCTTAATAATACTCTATGTTATAGATCTATATATTGTTACTGAGTACTATCCGGTTGGAACTGACTAATAGCTGACCCCTCAGTGGGTTTTCAGAGGCAGTTGTAATTGTAAGGGAGGAGATTGCCCATCCTTCTTCTGCAGAGCAGCTGGTGACCAGAGTTAGTGCTCTCTCTCCCTTCTACCCCTACAATCTCTCTCCCCATTGCTGTTGAATGAGAACTTACTCAAAGCTGATCCGTCCAATAGGTTTTCTGAGGCTGTAGCTGGAGCATAATACTGTAAGCAATAGAGCACATTTTATCATTTCATTAGTGAAGGGGCATTTGGGTTGCTTCCACCTTGTGGCTATTGTGAATAGTGCTGTTATGAACATTATGTTCACATTATCGTTTGGACTCACTTCTGTTGGGGTTATACCTAGTATTGTAATTGTTGAATCTGTGATAGTTCTCTTTTCAACTTTATGAGGAACTGACACCCTCCATCATTTCAACTTCTCTAACGCTGGTCCTTTTTCTCCATGCTCATGATTTGGATTTCCCTTCAGCCCTTTATACACTTTTATTATTGTTGTTATGTGCTGTTGAGTTATAACTGGCAACCCTCCAGGAGGTTTTCAGAGGCTGTAAATCACATGGGAAGAGATGGCCTATCTTTCTCCTTCATAGCAGCTGGTGGATTCAAACTACCATCCTTTGTGTTGGTAGTGCAACTGCTTACCACGAGGGCCATCAGAACTTCCTACATACCATTAGTCATGTAACTTCTTCTTATTGTTGACTGCCTTTGAATTGAGCATGACTCATAGCGAACCTATGAACAAAAGGCCTGAAGCCCCTCTACAACTATTAACATGTATAGAAATTCATAGAGTTTCTGGAGTTACGTTATTTAGGAAGTAGATGTCACTTCTGCTTATACCATTAGTCTTGTAATTTAGTGAAGTTGCTGTTGTTGTTATGTGCCGTCGACTCACTTGCGACTCATAATGATCCTATGTACAAGATCTCTAAATCCTGCTCTATCTGTGCCAACCTCCCATCTCCATACACTTATTCCCACCACCTCGATCACAGAATCGATCTATCTCATTGAGGGTCTTCCTCTCCTGCGCTGTCCCTCCACTCTGCCAAACATGATGTCCCTCTCCAAGGACCGGTCCCTGCTTGTAACATGCCCAAAGTATGTCAGACAAAGCTTCAGAATCCTTGACTCCAAGGAGCAGCCCGGCTTCACCCTTTCTAGGAGGAACCTTTGTTCTCCTAGCAGTCCGTGGTATATTGAACACTTTTCTCCAGCACCACAGCTCAAAGGCATCAATTCTCTTTCTATCATCTCTAGTCACTATCCAACTCTCCAATGCATAGCACATAATTGTGAAGACTGTAGACAGGATCAGGTGCACCTTAATCTCTAGCCTGACGTTGTTGCTCTTCAGTACTCTTTTTTAAAATTTTTAAAAATTTATTACTAATTTCAATGAAAATTTACAGAGACTTTGGATTTCTATTCATTCATTGCTGCACTTTTCTCCCCTTCCAACCCTCCCCCCTAATACACTATCCTCTTGGAAAAGTAAAAGAAAAATTCTTTCATTGTTTTACAATCCCTCCCCCCAGGTCCACTCCACAATGCAGCCTTCACTCTGGATTCCTGTCATGACAAAAATACCTGATCACATATCCCTTTTAAACAGTTTTCTCCCTCATCTGTTTCAATACTCTTCAGTACTCTTGAGACATCCCTTACAGCTGACTTTCCCAATGCAATTTGTCTCTTGATTTCCTGGCTGCTGTTTCCAAGAGTGCTCATTGTGGAACCAAGCAAACTAAAACTGTTAACTATCTCAATCTCTTCACCATCCATCCTGATGCTGCCAATTGGTCCAGTGGTGAGAATCTTTTTTTTCTTAATGGTGAGCTTCAATCTGTATTGAAGGCTGCAGTCCTTGACCCTCTGTAGCAAGTGCTTTAGGTCCTCCTCAGTTTCAGCAAGCAGGGTTGTGTCATCTGCATAACACAGGTTGTTGATGACTCTTCCACCAATCCTGATGTCACTTTCCTCCTTGTACAGCCCAGCGTCCCGGATGATCGGTTCTGCATACAGATTAAAAAGGTATGGAGACAGAATACAAAGGAGATGCCCCTCTTGATTTTGATCCATGTAGTGTCTTCTTGCTCTGTACTGATGTCTGCCTCTTGGTCCAAGTATAGTTTTTGCATAAGCATAATCAAATGTTCTGGGATTCCCATTCTTCTCAGAGTCAGCCACAGCTTGTTGTGATCCACACAGTCAAAAGCCTTTGCATAGTCAATGAAGCACAGATAGACATTCCTCTGGTACTTTGCTTTCTGCCAAGATCCATCTAACATTAGCTATAATATCCCTTGTACCATGACCTCTTCTAAATCCAGCCTGCACATCTGGCAGCTCTCTGTTGACATATTGCTCCAATTGTTTTTGGATAGATTTCAGCAGAATCTTGCTTGCATGTGATATTAATGATATTGTTTGATAATTTCCACACTCTGTTGGGTCACGTTAATTAGTTAATAATTCTTGAACCGTCAGTGCCGTGGACCTAGGACTAAAGCCAAGGACTATACACTTCATTAAAGAAAAGCTTGGAAGAACTCTAGAAGTCCTAATACACAACCTAAATAGTCTTCCAGCATCTGGAAAATCTACAACCAAGAAAAGATAAAATAGATGAATGGGACCTTCTAAGAATCAAATCCCTATGCACATCCAAAACTTTTTCCAACAGGGTAAAAAGGGAAGCCACAGTCTGGGAAAAAATATTTGGTAATGACATGTCAGACAAGGGACTTATATCTAGAATTTATAAAATACTTGAGCACCACAACAAGATAAAGATAAATAACCCAATTGAAAAATGGGCACAGGATATGAACAGACACTTCACCAAAGAAGACATTCAGATGGCTAACAAACAACTGAGGTAATGTTCTAAGAAAATTGCAAATGAAAACAACTATGAAATATCCTATCAACCCCAGTAAGAACAGCAAAATTTAACAGAACTGCAAACATCAGATGCTGGCGAGGTTGTGCAGAATCGGAAACACTTATTTACTGTTGGTGGGAGTGTAAAATGGTGCAACCACAATGAAAGGCTGTATGATGCTTTCTCAAAAAGTTGTAAATAGAAATATCATTTGACCCAGCAATTCTACTACTGGAAATATACCCTAAAGAAACCATAACCACCACCCAAGCAGATATATGCACACCCATGTTTATTGTGGCTTTGTTCACAGCAAAGAGTTGGAAACTCAAGTGCCCATCAACAAATGTATGGAGAGAGAAACTGTGGTATATTCACACAATGGAATACTATGGTGCATTGAAAAACAAGGAGCTCATAAAATATTATGCAAAATGCATGACCCTGAAGGACATTATGCTGAGTGAAATATCTCAGTCACAAAAGGACAAATATTTCATAGGGCCACTGTTGTAAAATGGGGCTGACATCGGGGTTGCAGGAAGACAGAAAAGGAGGGGGGGAATGATGTATACTGCATTGAAATAGATGAGGGAGAGAACTGTTCAAAAAGGATATATGATTGGGTGTTATTATCATTACTGAAGTCCAGAATGATGGCTGCACAGTGGAGTGGACTTGGGGGTGGGGGAAGGATTACATAACAATAAAAGAGTTTTTCTTTTATCTTTCAAGGAGAATATTGAATGAGGGGGAGGAGGTGGGCAGGGAGAAAAGTGCAACAATGAATGATTGGAAAACCTAAGTCTCTGTAAACTTTCATTAAAATTAATAAAAAAGTTCTTGAACAGTCAAGTTTAGCATTCTGGTTATCAGCACTATAATAGTGTGTCAAGAGTGACTACATACTTGGCTTCAAAGATAGGAAACTACAACCATTGGTTTGATATCCATGTGTTTGCTTTTAATTTATTTAGTCAATGCATTGGGCTGTCAGAAGTAAAAAAGACCTAATGCTGGAAGAATCTGACCAGACTCATATCTGCAAGATTGCAAAGGACTGGAACGAGCAGAGAGAAATAAATAGAGAAGAGATTGGTTCAACCATGGAGAGAACAGAGCACAAAGAATCCGATTCCCCGGACAAGTCCTTCTCCCATCCAGATTCTACAGGTGGGTCCTGTCATGTAATTTTTCAGACACGTAAAGTCTTCCATGAAAAGGCTTGATTTAAAATGCATGTATTTCCCCCCCACTTTTTCCATTATATATAGTAGTGAATTTATGGATTGGTTAAGCATTTTAAAATGTATTTACTTAACATTGATACAGAAACTAGAAGATATGTTACTTAATACTTTCCTGCTTTGGGAAATCTTGAGACATCTCTGGAAGTGTCTTCACTTCATGTAAAAGGCTGAGCGCAGTGCTTTGCCTGTAGCAGGTGCTGGGTAACTGTTAACTATTATTACAATTTCTTTGTTTGTCTAGTCTTCTACCTACCATCCAACTGTGTTTGTCTAGAATGGGGGTGTCATATACCTGTACTGTTAACAGCTCTTCAAATTCTGACATGAAGTAACTATCTCATTATTTTCTTTTTAAAACAAGTGTTCAAAGATGTTGAGAAACCTTAAATTTAAAGGCTAAATTTTAATGGGTTGTTGATTCTCATAATCCTGAAAGCCAGCACAGTTATTTTAGGTTTTTGACAGGTGTTCACTGCTTCAAGTCTAACTCCTGATGATCCAGGCCTGCCTTCTGTGGAGTTGGTACTTTGATTGCAAAGACCTTGTAACGGGAAATGGTTATAATATAACAAACTGATCAAAGCAGAAGCCTGAATTTGAGATAAACAGTGTTTTAAGCAAATATACATATGAAAACAACCCCTCTATCCACGTAAATATGCTGATATTTCTTATTTCTGCCATGAAATCTGTGCTCCCTGAGCCCCTGTGGGATCCCTTGGTTTTTTGCTTCCCTCAGAAACATGCCTTGAGTTCACCAGACCTGAGGAGCTTGAAATGCTTCAAGACTCGGCTGGTAACATGCCGAGATCCTAGTTGGATTCTCTGAACTGCCCTTTCTCTTTAAATATTTGTTTACATATTAAATAGACTCTAGAAGGAAAATTATCTTGTCATTAAAAAAAGAAATAAAACCATAAATAGAAAATGACTTAGTGTTTACCCCTCCTCAATCTGAGTCTACTTCTTAAAGGAGCACACTCGGTAGCGCAAGTCTGTCTCCTTCCACGTGATTCTCTACACTAACACACCAACCTGCGTTATGCGGATGATACAACCCTGCTTGCTGAAACTGAAGAGGACCAGAAGTGCCTGCTGCAGAGTGTCAAGGACTGT